TGCTCATCAGGGAATTCATTGTTCACAAAATGCCTATTAATATCTCATTGATCTAATAGTCCCAGAAAGAGTTGGGAAAATATGGCTTTATAATTTAAAGTGCTTTCTAGGATGTCTAGACCTAGAACACTGAGGGGAAAAATGGGGGTCCCTAAAATAGTCAAAGGAGCTCCAAAGACAAACGTTTCCAGCTTCTCAACTTTGTTTTGACTGTCCAGGGGCTGGTCATAGTAAGAACCTTCATGGTTTCTCTGAGGATAGTGGACAAACTTCTGGCTCCACTAAGTACATACAGCTTCTTTCCAGTGTGAACATGGATTATGCTGGGTCTAGCCCAACACTTCACAGATAAATCCGGAGGGGAAACAGCGGGGTACTCCAAGCCACCAGGGGACCTCAGTCATTTACATGATGCCCAAAGACTGCAGCCCAAAGTTGTTATAGCTCCTAGACATTTCACCAATATGGGATGGTTAGTGGGACTTGGAGGAGGAGGAAGAAATTGATCCAGTGAAACTGGCAGGGAAAAGGTCTGTCAGTTCTAGAGTGAAGAGGTGTGATCCTTTGAATATTTTATTTTTATTTTTTCCATAAGAATGATGTCCAGGTTCAAGAATTTCAACAGAGGTCTAGGTGTTGGCTGAGATCAAAAGCAGAAAAATTCTGTCATTTCACACTTTTGTGACCTTAAATCACCCATGTATTATTGGGAAAGTGATATTTACTCTAAAGTATCTTTCTCACACTTTTCCATGAATGTGCCATGTCATTCTCTCCCAGAACAACTAAGCTTCTGTCAAAACTCCAAAGACAGGAAGTTTGGTAATGGAGTGTTAGGTTAGTAAAATGTAATCTTTCTGCCGTCCTTCTGAAGCTCTCCGATGTTTCCCATGTAATTATCTTTGACATTTGATTGAAAGCAGTATATATATATATATATATATATATATATATATATATTTTTTTTTTTTTTTACAAAGAAACCCATTTGAGCCCTTGGTGGTCACTTAAGACCTACTTCATTGCCATCTGGCACTCATCCGAGGCCAAGATTATGTAGTATATGTATGGTTCAGCTCCGTCTGCTATAGTCTTCTATTGATTTTGTGGTTATTGGGGAAATGGCATCTTATTCGTGTTTTCAAGTTCTATCTTATAATGAAGGTTCTTTGGCTTTACATGGTTCATATCTGCAAAATCAATGATTACTTCAGTAGCACTGACAAAGTACTACATTTTTGAAAAGAAAATTGAAAAATTATTACCTGATGGATGAGAAATGGTTTTGGCATTTAAAAACAGAAAATGCTTCTCCATATCTCTTCTAAATTATGTCTGATGTTGACATTAGCATTTATGTAATTCATCCAATTGTGGGAGTCATCATGTACTAATTCTTAACAGAAGTAAAAGCTATTACAGAGGGGAATAACATTCCTTCAAAAGGCTTCATTTCGGTCTTCTTCTTCTATGCAGTTTGTATCAATTCCACAGTAATTAACTTATTTTGCTTTAATTCTGTTCTGGCAAACACTGAAGAGGACATGAGGAGGCACCTAAAATTAAAGCTGAAATGAAAGAAACAGTAGGCCTCAGTCAAAACGTTTGCATTTGTTCAGGAGAGGCTTAATGGGCAATATTGAAAGGCATCAGATTTCTTTTTGTAATGAGGGCCAAATCTTCACTTAACAGAAGGCAATTTTGATAAAGAGAGAAACAAGATATAAGGCTTAAGTTTGGGGCAATCTTAACAGAAAATTATAATGTGCCTATCTGTGATAAGACCAGAGGAAAGCATCATTCTACCTCAGTTTCCCCGCAGTAGTTGGTTTGGAAGGCTAAAAGCAAAGGGGCCCAAAATGTCTGCAAATGTAACTGAGTACATGTTTAGGAGCCACCTTTCCACAGTAAAGACTCGGCAGCAGGACCATATCCCATTAGCTCAGTCTGAAGACGGAGTGGTTCGTGCTCATTAAGCTCACCAACCTGTGTCTCCACCAAGGAGAACATGGTGGCAGTTCCAGAGAGCCCCCAGGGTTGTTACTAAGGTGCTCTGGGCACTACATCAACAAAGGTCACCTTGCCAAGCTGAAAACCGGAAATGAGTATTGTCAGTAATGGGCATGGTTCATGCAAAAGAAAGGAACCATCAAAGAGTGCATTTTAGAAATAGAGAAGTACAGTGTGACATAGAGTAGGTGACTAAAAGGGGTCCCAAAGGGAGTCTGGGACCGTATTTTATAGAGCTTCTTATACCATACTGAGTTTGTATTAGGTTTTGGAGAAAGATAAGCCCTAGGGCAAAGAGGAGAGCATTCTATAAACGGGGAAAGACTAGAAAGATATCCTTCTTTGTCTTCTCTCCCTATATATTCATCAGGACAGCCTTAGCTCAAACACGATCACAACACATTCTGTGAGACTCTCTGACTAACCCCACTGCTCTACACATACAGACACACTCCACAGATGATACTGCCTCCTCAACGCTTCCCTTTCACCTTGTAATTGCCTTTATGCTGCACTTGGAGCAATCTAGTGGGTGAATCTGCTGAAGAGCAGGGAATGTGCTTTATCTATCTCCGTGCATTTCCTGGTGCATAATAGGAATTCAGTATATGTTTGCTGGATGAAAGACATTTTGTTCTGTTTTCTGCAGACAAGAGAGGAGGCTCAGAGTTTGATTCTGCTTACATAAGGAGAGTGTGGTGCTAAGATTTTCCTTCTTAATGCATTAGGAGGATATGACCCATGTAGTTCACAACCACTGGTTTCTAGTCAGTTGAGATTTTTGCAGAACCCCCTAAGGGTGAGTTGTGTTTATTATTGTTTACAGTACATTACAGCTAATGATTTGGTATTCAAAATCCACCGTACTTTTGCCTCATTTAGTTCTAAAAGAGAAACCAGGAGATATTCTTTCCTCTTTAAGTAATGGACATGATGAGCCAACAAAAATACATTAAAGAACACGTGCATTCACTTTTCATTTGTCTTAGACAAAAATTAGATGTTTCTCCTCCATTATCTCATAAAAGCATGTTATTTATAAAAGAAACTGAAATTAATGTCATTAAAACTGATTACCCTAAGTGAATGGTGACGTATATGTGGGTATACAATTGTGATTATAATATTAGAGAGAGTAATCTAATGATCGGTGGGATAATGTGATTTTGTGGTGTTAGTAAAAGACTAAAAGCAGAGCCCCTTGGTGAAATCGCACCTGCTGATCTGAAACAGGGCCCGAATGGGAACCAGGCAGAACAGCTGTCTTGGCCTCAATCCTCTGATGCCATTCACAGCTGGACAATGCCCTCAGGCTGCCCCGGCTGCTCAGAGTCCTCTCTACCCCTATTGTGGTGACAGTTCTGAACCTGCCTGTGTTATGCAGAAACCAGAAGACAGAAGAGAGCGAAGAACAGGAAGGGGAAGGAATGTTCTCTGAGAGAGGAACAGGTCTGTTGAGCACACCCTTCCACGGATGAACCCAACCCCCAACTGGAATAACTGTTGCTTCCTCCGCTGCTCACTGTGTCTCTGATCCCTCCCCGTCCTGTGAGCTCTGGCTCCTGCTGCATCAGTGGCCTTCCTCCTCCTTGCATCTCATCCCTGTCTCACATGACAGTAGATCCTCCACCTCTCAGAGCTTCTCAACCCCCAAAATCCTTAAATTGCATCATCTTTCCTCAATGCTTACCTTCCACACCAAACTGACAGGAGATGCACCCCATTCTTGCTCCCTCTCCTTCCTGACCCCTCCCTGCCTCCTTTGCTTGCTGAGTCTAGAGCGGACGCCTTCATCCTACTGGCCTGCTTTCCAATGGCATAAGGGAACATCTCAGTAGTGAACGCCACTTCCTCTTAGCAGTTCCTCACATCTCCCCTCTCAGAAGCATTTGACGACTGCTTGGAATTCTCTTAGCATTTAGGATCCCAATATTTACCTCCTCTGAAAACACTTACCTAATGCACTCCTCCATTCCTGCCACTTACATGTGGCTGTCTTCAAGACTCTCCTCATTTTGCCTCTCCTTTCCCTCACAGATGTTTTCTTTTCCCATGACGTATGACCCTGTAGCACTCTGTGGTTAGCTCTCAAATCTGTGACTCCAGCCAACCATGCTGGCCCTTGTTTCTCGCCCCGGCTGTCAAACAGACAATCTTCCCTCTTTGCCATTCACCCTCTGCCCCTGTGACATATAGTTCACTGCAGTGCTAGGCATTTCACTATTATGGTTCAAAGTTAGAGATTCAGATAAAAACAGGCTCAACTGCCAGCTCTGCCCCAAACTTCCAATCTGACTTCAGACAAGTTTCTTCACCAGTCTGAGCCACAGTTTCCCTATTTGCAGAAGCAAAGATAATACTTCATCCATGCCTCCTGTCTGTTGTGAGAATGAAGAGAATCCATGTAAATCACCTGGCCCACAGTAATTGTTCCATACGTTTTAGTTGTTATTATTAATTTATTCAGTAGATGTTTATTGAATAAGAATGAACTATGGGGATGCTTCAGGTACTGTAGTAAGAAGATGGAAGGAGGTCATGAGGTTTGAAGACTTTTGGGCCTCCTCACATCCTATAGCATGAAGTGAAGGCCCCTTCTACAATGTGGGCCAATCCAACCCAATGAGAATGGCTAACCTTTGTGAATTATTACTTATTGAAAAATTGCATGTATGTAATATAATCATCTTTCAGATTAAGCCATTTATCCACTGTAGCCTACTCTATATAATCCCCCTTATGTGGTGATTCCAGTCTTTGTTAATTACTTAAATAGTGATGTAGTTTGGATATTTTTCCCTGCCCAAAGCTCATGTTGAATTATAATTCCCAATGCTGGAGGTGGGGCCCGGTGGGAGGTGTTTGGATCATGGGGGCATATATCTTATGGTTTGATGCTGTCTTTGAGATAGTGAGTGAGTCTCAAGAGATCTGGTCATTTCTCTCTCTTGCTCCTGCTTTCACCATGTGATGTGCCTGCTCCCCCTTAGCCTTCAGCCATGATTGTAAGATTCCTGAGTCTTCATCAGAAGCAGAGCAGACGTCCAGCGCCATGATTCCGATACAGCCTGCAGAACTGTGAGCCAATAAAACCTCTTTTCTTTATAAATTACCCAGTCTCACGTATTTATTCAAAGCAATGCAAGAATGGCCTAATAGTTATCTCAATGAAAATTGCACAAAACAAATGTGCTATCAAAGAAAAAATCACCATTTGATTCTCTTGAAATTAAAACGCCCTTCCCCAACTCAGCCAGGTTACCTTCTGGGATATAACTGGTTTTCTCTCCTAAGTAAGTTTTTCACATAAATCAAGGAGTCACCTCCCTAAAGAATTTTCCCCCAATGTGTGAAGGAGTCAGCACTTTGATTAGCAATTTTTCATTGTTTCTTGACTGCTCTGATCTGTTCTTAAGACTATTTTTTAAAATAAACTTTGGAGTCATTTTATATTTACAGAGAAGTTGCAGAGTTCCTGTATGCCTGTCATCCAGTTCCCCCACCTCGTGCTAACATCTTGCATAACAATGATATGTTTGTCAAAACTGAGAAATTGGCATTGATACATTAGTATTATTAAGCTACAAACTTCATTCAGCTATCACTAGTTTTGTCATTGATTTTTTTTTTCTATTTTAGGATCTGATTCAGTATACCACATTGCATTTAGTCATCATGCCCTTTTAATAAATATTCAGCTGAAAGTGAATCATGCCAAATCATTAACTATCGAAAGGTTCTCTGCTGCATGACAGTATATAAAACCTGTGAAATTCAACGTGAGGTGGGGAAAGCTGCCCAAAATAGAACTTAGGCCAGTCATCCGAATGAGCAAAATTAGTTGGAAAAAAAATGTTTTCAGATGGTGTCAAAGTGCAGTGTTAAACGTTTTGTTTCTTTGTCCTCCCCGCATCCCAGAACTTTCTTCAGTTTGTCTCTCCTGGAAGGATGAGCACCTCCACACTCAAGGTTTGACTATATTGAAACTACGTCATTGATCATCAAATCACAAGAAACAAGGAGTTTTAGTCTTCACTAGAAGCGCACCTATGTGACCTTGAGCAAGTGTATTCAGCCTTTCTTGGTCTCCCTTTCCCCATCTGTAAAATGAATGTGTGGTTTGGTGATGGCTGGTCTGTGGATCCATTGCATCAGAATCACCTGGAAAGCTACTGCAAATGCTAATTTGCAGGTCCTAGCCCAATCATGAATATCTTTGCACTTGGGCCAGGGGATCTGTAGTTTCGTACACACACACACACACACACACACACACACACACACACACAGAGAGAGACACTCTCAGGTGATTTGGATGCACAGCAGGGTTTGGGACACATTGGATTAAACAATCTGCCTGCTTGCCTGAGTTCAGAGGCAAAAAAAAAAAAATGGCCCTTGGATGTATCCTTTAATAGGAGGCCAAGAAACGGGATCAGCCTCCTTGAGGAAGCAGGTTTGGTGCTTCAGGGAGCTACCAAGACTATCTTCTTAAGAAGCAATCACCACTTCCCAGGCTTCTCTTGCATTCCACCTGGGAATTCCGTGTATAATGCATATGTAGCCTACAAAGTCAAAGAACTGACTTTCTGCGCCTTTTATTTAAATTGGTTTCATGGAAAGTGGCTAAATAGGAGAACTGAGATAAATGAAAGTTTTACAAAGATATTGGAATTTAACTAAATAACAACTTATCTTCGTTATATTTGAAGTTTCTGCACTGATTACTTTTCATTCCCTTCTCGGGAGTACAGAATAAAAAGGAAATGATTTCACATGATACAATATGTTAATCCACTCATTTTATCTGCACTCTGCCTTTTAAGAAACCCTCTTAACTGTATTCCGAGGGGCAATAAATAACAAGGAAATATTGGCAAGTTGATTTTGTCTGTGATTTCTGCAATTTTCTGTTTTAATTGACAGAACCTCAGAGCTGAAAAAAGGGATCATATAATCAAGACAGATTATAGATCAAACAATTTTATTAAATGGGGAAGCTGAAGAAAACCAAATTGCAAGCGGACAATACCATTATATAAAATTTTCACTCAATTCATAATTAGTCACTCCACATCGTAATTCTTGGAGGTAGCAATTTTTCTGCATTTTACAGATTTAAAAACTGAGATCAAACCCACAAGATTTCATACAGTAGGTGATACAGAAATTCAGTCCAGGTCCAAGGTCTCTAGTGTCATGTTCCAGAGATGATTTTAGCAGGCTTATTTATGAACTAGAAATAGTGGATAAAGGTTTAAGGAATATACTACACATCTACTTGATGTATGCAGTCATTAAAATGGACAAGTACCCTCATATACTGCAGATGGGAGAATAAATTGATCATTGAGCCAGGTGCAGTGATTCGTGCCCATAGTCTGAACTACTTGGGAGGCTGAAGTGGGCAGATTGCTTGAGCCCAGGAGTATGAGGCTGCAGTGAGTTCTGATTGCACTGCTGCATTCCAGCCTGGGCAACAGAGCAAGACCTCACCTCTTAAAAAGATAAAAATAATTGATGCAATCAGTCCAGAAACCGATTTAGCAATATCCATAAAGTGTCTTTTCAAAGTTCATACCCTTTGGCCCAATAATTCACTCTCTAGGAACTTATCCTAAGGCAATGATCAGAAATTTGGCAAGAGGCTTATTTGCAAAACTCTGCATTAAAACAGTACTTTAAAAATGAAAAACCTGGAAGGAAACTAAAGGTTTAAAATTAATGAGTTAGATAAGTGATGGCTTTTTACATGCTATAATATCACATATACACAATGAAAAGGTGTTTTAGTGGTATAGGAAACTGCTTTTAATATTTTAAGAAAAAAGGCATGATCAAAATATTTTATGTCTACTATGATCCCAATATTGTTGAAAGAAAAATGTGTGCATGTGTAAAGAAAGCAGGACTGAAAAGGAATAAGTTAAAATATTTAAAGAGTCTTGAAAAGGAATGTTAAGGTGGTTCTCTCTCTGTGGTGAAATTACAGCACGTTCTTTGGTCTCTTCTTCGAGCCTTTCAGAATTGTGAATTATCTTTAGTAAGAAATAAACCGCTTTTATGATCAGAAGGAACACAATGTTATTTTTAAAAGAAATGAAAATTGCAGATTTTCATAAAAGGAAAACAGAAAAATAAAAAAGGAAAAACAGAAAAATCCTATGACATGTTTAGTAAAAAAAAATAGCAATTGCATACACAGTAGAGTTTATGCAGATATGTACATAATTATAACTCTGCAGAGGAAGGATTAGACGAAAGCACAACAAAATATTAAAGGTGTTTGGGTTTAAATAGCAAATTAAGTGGATCTCTTCTATAGCTTTTTATTTTCAAGAATTATATTAAGTCCAGGTGCAGTGGCTCACACCTGTAATCCCAGCACTTTTGGAGGCCAAGATGAGCGAATTGCCTGAGGTCAGGAGTTTGAGACCAGCTTGGCCAACATGATGAAACCCTGTCTCTATTAAAAATACAAAAAATTAGCTGAATGTGGTGGTGGGCACCTGTAATCCTAGCGTCTTGGGAGGCTGAGGCAGGAGAATCGCTTGAACCCAGGAGGCAGAGGTTGCAGTGAGTAGAGATCGCATCACTCCACTGCAGCCTGGGTGACAGAGCAAGACTCCGTCTCAAAAAAATTTGTGTTAATACTTCAATAATGTTTAAAATTTCCTTTATCTTCCCTGCCACCACTTCCTCCAAGTCCCACAGCAACCAAGGGTGCTGGGCAGCTAAGAGCACACAAGGTACAGACTCAATCACAAGTGGGCTCCCATCCTGGCTCTGAAATTTACTAGCTATGTGTCCTTAGGCAACTAATTTCTTTGAGAAACTCATATGAAAAATAGGATAGCACCTGGCTCCCCAGATTACCGGGAGCATCAAAGGAGATGATGGATACTAATTGCTTAGCATATTCCTGCCAGAATCACTAGAGCTTTGTGGCCATTACAGTTGGGGAGCTTGATGAGTCTGGGGTTTTCACTAGTGTGTCTTCGGCTTTACTCTTGATCTTACTTTGCCAGGCCCCAGTAAAGCAGGGTGAAGTTGGCAGGTTGTCTGAACCCTGCTTGTAACATGAGGAAACTTGTCAATAGTCTGGAGAGGAGAACTTGGAGGAAAACGTGTTCTTCCTAGTCCCACAATGGATATCTCTGTCTTGGGGTAACCCGCTTGGAATTCAAAGTGAATTCCAACTTTCGTCCAATTCAAGGTTATTGAACTTTAACTCAAAGATGTGTTGTTAATCAATGTCTTTCTTTCTTCTATATAGACATGCTTTTAAGGAATAATGGCGGGTGCTCAGATGGAGAGGCACACACATAGAACACAAAAAGATGCACTCCAATATCTTTCTGCAAGCTTTCCATTCCGTCTCATGGTCCACCATTCAATTCAATCCTTTTGGTCAACTCCCTAACTCTCCTAAAATGGAGTATTAATGTATACTCAATCACATGTCAATCTCAATTATTTTTTAGGGGCTTGCTCTAATCAGATAGCTGGGAATAAGGTCTGAGGGAACATGGATTTTGAAGACAAAATAATTTCAAAATTTGGGACACTAGCTGAGTGTAGCCTAAGTGTAGAGTCAAAGGCAGGGAGGTGAAGAACTCAAGGAGACTCCCCAGCTCTGTGCTGGTGTAAAGCAGCTACCTTCAGCTCTTCATTGCCCTTAGCTCTAAAATGGCCCAGGGGTTCAGGTCTTCTCTGCCTCTTGAAATAATCATAATTTTTTAGTGTTAGCAGATACTAGTGGTACAGGGCTTGAGGTCTAAGTCAGTCATGCATGGACTCCAAGTCAGAATGCCCATCTTAGCTGTGGAACTTCAAAGAATGTTTTGAAATGATGGCGCCTTCTACCAAGAAGTGCTGGAGTGATTAAGTGAGATGTTACAACTAGGAACAGCACAGATTCTGGCACTAAAAAAGCCCTCAATAAACAGGAACAAATATTACTCTACTCCTTGAGGTCACTTGTATTCTTAAAGACTTTGGTAGTTCCAAAGTTATTTATTCTCATGGAAAACAAACATGCAACCTTTTCTCTGATCTGTGGAAGTTGACAGTGCATAGAAATACTAGTAGCGGTAATTTCTGTCTCAGGGCTTTCTGAGACCATAGTTACTCACATAACTCTCTCATACAGAGCCAAGCTGAACAAAGACACCATACACTTGGCTAACTTCCCCCAGCAGCTGGGGACAAGTGGACCTGGGCATTGCAAGCTTTATCTGAACTATAATGAAAATTCATTATTAGACTCTCATTATAGCATTGCAAGCTTTATGTGAACTATAACAAAAATTCATTATTAGACTCTCATTCTAAGCTTAGGATCAGGCGTACAGGCTCACACCTGTAATCCCAGCACTTTGGGAGGCTAAGGTGAGAGGATTGCTTGAGCCCAAGAGTTCAAAGACCAGCCTGGGCAACACAGGTAGACCCATCCCTACCAAAACTTAAAAATTATCCAGGCATGGTGGTGTGTGTCTGTGATTCCAGCTACCTAGGAGGCTGAGGTGGGAGTATCACTTGAGCCTGAGAGGTCTAGGCTGCAGTGAGCTATGATTGAGAAACTGTATTCCAGCCTGGGCTGCAGAGTGAGACCCTGTCTCTTAAAAAAATTTTTTAAATGAAAAGTAAAAAATGAGGTTAAATTGATGTTCTGAAATGGAGTCAGGTTAATAGTAATATCCTAAATGTCACTATCATCTGCTAACCTAACACCTCCGTCTCTTACAAATGCCCTACAACCCAGAGCAGCATTTCAAAAAAATACATAATGGGAACACTACACTGGTTGGTGCATAGCGGAGGATAGCCGGTATGCTCGCAGCCTAATGGACAACTCATTCCTTAATGCAGAGAAGGTAATAATAGGGATATAAATAGAGTTCCTGCTGCTATAAGAGACCAGGAGTGGAGCTTCTTTGAATTCTCCAATAGGACATGAGACACAGCAACTTGGGCCCCTCCAGCTCAAACAGCAATAACAGAGTTGCTGATAGCTGCAGCCCAAGATATGTATGAAGTCTCAGGGAGACTTCCATGCCCAACCACCCACTGTGGCACATCTACAAGATGGACGGACTGCCACAGTGTTACTACTCTCTTTTCCCGTGGCAGGAGATTTTAATGAGCGTGATAACAAGGCAATTGGATGAAATGTTTAAACTATGGTAAGCTGTACAGAGAAGACATGTAACTTTAGCAAATTGGAAATTTTATACAAGCAGTATTAAGAGTATTATATTTTAAGGAACAAATAATTCAAAAAATAATCTTTCACTAGCTGACCTCTTTGGATCCTGTCCTTACAGGGACTTTATTAGACCAGGCAATATGGTATAATGAGAAATACTTCAGACTCAGGGAACCAACAGTCTGCTGCAGGTGTGACGAGAAGTGAACTATGTATTCACTCCCTCCAGTCCAGCTTCTCATAACTTCTGGACAGATCTTCAGTGGAACCATATGAAGTCTCTGCTTCTACCATACCCTTAGCAGGATCAAGAGATGCCCCCACCACACCTACAGTCTCCAAATATGTATTTGTGGCCTTCACGAAGTGGTCAAAAGGATCAATTCTCATAGGACGATATTAGATTACCTACTGCCTTTCTTACCTTAACAAGGGAGAAAATTTCCATCCTGGCTAGGCCTGGAGATCCTATACCCTGCCACCGACTCCTCATTCTCAATATATCAGTTCACATAACTCAGAGCTCTGCCCTGGAACACTGCATGATGTACCTATTAGAATCACAACCTTCCTTGGTCACACTTTTATTTATTGTGAATAATAATTTTAAAAATCTACAAGTGGAAGTTTTACAATAACAAAATTATTGGGAAAATATAAGTATTTTATAAAACCCA